TAAGAGGCGGCATAAGGAGAAGTACCTGGAGAAGGTTACCTTATTCATGACGCGGGTGAGAGCAGAGCTAGCCCTTGATTCCAAGATATGATATAGGGTGTAAAGGGTACGGTACGTTAGAATTAATATGTGACGCTTTCTAGGCTCGGCGGCTGGAGATGGGCGACGGAGATAACGGTGCCACCCGAGGGAACGACGACAGGAGGGCAGTCGAGATACCAGCAGAAGAACCGCGAGGCCGTGTTATCCGCTCGTGATAGAGCCATATGTGATACCTTTGTTGGATCAACCGTGCAGTCGACCTAGTGCTTCTAATTCACTTGCTACCTCTATAATAAATCTAACTGTTCGTGACTCCTACACGGGCTCAGCACTTACTAGGGTATGGGCTAAGAACATTATTGGTGGGTGACAAGATGTAAGCTGCTGGTAAGATTCGGTAGGGGACGTTAGAATGGTTAGGTCGTCGTGTTCACAGCGCAGGTCACAGCATCAGCGAGGCGTACATTTCAGCAAGTGATATAGAGGGTGAGATGGGGACATCAACCGTGGGTGACTGGAAGCGATAACTACTGATAGGGGCTGATAAGGAAGTTGCAGTCGTCGTCGCTGTTCAAGGTGGTTCACGCTACCAAATCATAGAGATTTAGTGATGAGGACATTGATGACGGGTGACAGGTAATCTTATCAATCGATAAAAACAGATAAGATACCATCTGCGCTACATTTTTATCACTTCTTACCGCTATAATGCCGAGTATTAGAGGCTCAGTGTGTGAACTCTTTCCTTTGATGGCAACAGAATCAAGGTCGTCCATTGAAGTATTTGCTTTTAGATGCATGCAATGGTGTCGAAAGGGGTGGAGGGGAGGGGTGTATAGTGTGGCTGAAACGGGAAAGCTGAGAAATTCATTAATCAAAAAATTTCCGCAAATCTGCCCACTATGTGATGTGTTAGGAGGTGGCGGTCGCAACTGAAGCAAATAAGGAGGGAACCCAACAACTGGGAGTGAGGACGTCCTGTCGGTGGTAACATTCGAGCTCTCCGTGCGACACAGTAACACTAACTTACGTTGTTTTGACACTTACATACAGCAAGATTGTGATAGTTCTTTCCTTTTTCGTTGGCCCCAAGTGGACCATCGCAGTTTATGCCCCCTAAAGACGAAAACTACTCACTCCGAGGAGGGAGCTTTGCAAGTTTCCGGGTGTTAAGTACTCACGAATTCAAACTTTTAGCATTCTGTCTCAATCTTACCCATTTCTGGATGTCGCAGCAGCGCGTCCTCAATCGTATCAGCTGTGCGAACTGTCGAAAGGAGTTCTTGCAGCTTGCCAGTTGCACGCCGCTTTCTCGCTTCAAAGTCACGGCTGAGGGAAGGCTTGGAAGGTAGTAGTGTCTGCGTACTCCACCTAAGTTATGGTGAAAGCCCTCTCACTTGAAGTCCTGTAGTATATCGCAAGGATGGGATCAGATGTTGGTAGATAATGACTGTTCACTGAGCCATTTCGTGAACACATTTTCCTACACGCTCTTTAATAGAAAAATAAACACTGCGTCTATGGCATAAGCGTATCATTCCGCTTACACTTCCGCAGACGCATTCTACTCAAATCGTCTGCTAAAGGGTCGAATGTGACGCTGCTATGAGAAAAACAGTGCAGTGATGCGGGAGTCCGTCCGGGAGACGGGCGTGAACAGAAGAGGAGCACCCAGAAAGTAGTATGGATGAGAAGCGTGCGCAGAGTATGCGTGAGAATTGGTTATCTGCTATACGTGGTTAACCAGTGCTCCAGTCGGTTGTTGGTGTATTTCAGCTAGCAATTTGCCATAAGTATTGCGCGATGAGACGCCCAGATAGTCATCCTGGCTGAGTCGTGACTCTAGCTGCCTGCAGGTTGGAGCTAAGTGTTAATGGTACCGTGGGCTTAGCCGTGCAAGCCGTCGTCCGCAGGTAAGGCATGTGGCATGGTCGTAAGTAAGCGGGTTAAAATCAGGCATATACCTGGTCATAGTGTACACCACGTAAGAGCAGTAAGGGCCTGCAGGCTGCAGATAGTGGCAACGTACCCGCGTGGCAACCGTAGCCGAGTGAAGGCAAACGCTTCGAACGTTCCCTGCCACTTACGCCGTGGCGGCGCGATCCGAATCCCGAGGTCAGAGAAGCTGACGACGCGGTAGGATGTTAGACATGAAGCAGGAAGGTACCGTCCCCGGCGCGACAAGCTTCTTGTCTAAATCATCGCTTTGCCCTCCCATACTTCCAGCGTATGCTTCCCGACGCTCTCTGTGCTCACGTCAAGGTGCTATCGGAATGTACCAAGCTGATGTGCTAAACACCGCTTTGATCAACACAGACAAGCTTCCTCCAGTTTACCGGGGGCGGGACCGATAGGTGGCTTGCTTGGCTCGGCTGGGTGTGAGTCGAGAATTTCAACCCATGTGACAGGCTGCGCCACTTGGCATCTCGGTGGTTTACATGATAGTGATAAACGACACTTTCGTTGCGATTCATTACCGGTTGTCTTGTTCATATAATGTGTGATGTGCTTGCTTTTTCCGAAATCTGATGATCATATAACAGCTATGGAAAAGCCATTTGAAATAGAATAATCACCACAAACTTTATTGGGGTCTCAGGTTGGGCTAACAGATTATTACTGAATGAGAACGTACATAAGGGGAGGCAAAGGCGGAATACATTGGTGTAAGTAGGCACAAACTAGTGCGGGCAGCGCGACATACAGCGTAGTTGACTTACTATTATAGAATGGTCACATTTTCCTCCGTTACAGTTAGGATATTTATAGTATTGTAAGGGGAGCTACTTCTTATGAGAATCGGATACGCTTGTTACAGGCGAAGTTCCATCTTCCCAATCCCAATGCTCGTGCATACGAATCTTTTTCTCTTCACGAAGCTAAATGACGGTGTTGAATGTTCTCGTGGCTCTTAATGAAATGACTTGGTGACGTACTCCATCGAGTAGACTGTAAAATTTGGAGTATGGAGGGGTGTCCTCAAAAACCATAGCATCAATCCATGTGAGTAGCATATTGTACTGAGGTGGTGTGTCACTGAGGAAATGCACTCGGCCTTCTCCTTCACGTGCTGCCGTTTTGGCCGCAAATACCTGCATACGATCTGAAAGAAGTATTGCCTAGTGATTGGTCTACAAAAGCGTAGTGTTTTCAGTCTTTTGGGTCTTCTGTGAGGTGCCGTTCTGTTCATAGCTTCACGCTCTCTTGATGACATCAGTGTTATGTATTATACATGGTCGTTGTGAAGTACACATCAGAAAATCGTATTTGGTTACTAAAATAGAGTATGACTCTAAACTAGCATTGTCCTACCGGTGACAAGTCGCCAAGGCAGACTTCCTTTGGTGATTTCAATCAGCATGTAGAACCAGCTTTCGAGATCGTCTCTACGGCTCAAATCCTGAAAGAGCACTTCTTACTT